CAGTAATCCACAATGGCTATACTGCAGTAAGTCAGAAATCAGTTTCAGCAATACTATAACACTTGGAAAGAAAAGGAAAGGCAGACAAGGCAAAGTGCCATATATTTGTTAATTATAGGGATTTTAAATACTCAGGTATCTGCTTAATAACTAATACAGCCAAACATACTTCAAAGAAGATTCTAAGAAGACAACTTTATGATCCAGAGAGTAGAGAACTGCCAGAGCTGAAGCCATTCTCTATTTGCTTCTTATTAATAGTGAGGAAATAATTAAGGGCCTCATCCTGCAAACACTTACTACACAGCATAACGGTTACTACTGTGAGTAGTCCTTTCTGTTCAGGTTCATCAATAGCTGTCCTAGGCTGATGGAGTTGCTCAGATCTGTCAGCCTTCAGGAGGGAGTCCTGACCTAAGTAGAGGTGATGAGGAGGATCAAGTGGCTGGCTGAAGTTTGCATGAGCAGCCTGGAAAGAGACTGCCCATCCAGCCTACCAGCCGCATATATGGCAGGGAACCTATAGGGAGTATGGCATTGGAACAGGTCTCCACCATGTAATTCCATTCTCACACTGTCTCCTTCGCCCCTCTGCTCTTCTTGCCTCCATGAGGAGCGGAGATAGGGAGCAGGGAGACAGGCTGGACAGCAGGACCATGGAGTACACTGGGACCAGAAGTAAATCTCAAATGCTAACAGATCCATCAAATGAGGCAGGTACCCTGTGGAAAAAACAGTCTTTAATTACATGATCATATACTATCATAATGCATATTCACAAGGGGACAGAATTAAGGTAGCACGGGCAACTTAATTCTGACATTTGCTAACTTTTGTCTTTGTAACTTAAAATTCTTTTAACATATTTTGTGTTATATGTATGACACAGACACACTCTCTACATAGGTGATATTACAGTCAAAAGATATACACAAATACCACAGCAAGAATAAAATGACAGCATCAGTGCAGATCAGGTCCCAGGTACAACACTATTTAACATTCCTGAAGTCAAACCTGAACACTTCAGCTTCTCTTGCCAGAACAGCAGTCCCAAGAGTAACATCCCTATTACCCATATACCCTCGATACACGTGCCACAGTTATTGTTACATTTATTAGCTCATCACCAGCCCCAGATGAGAAATTCTTGGCAGAACATGGCATTTAGAACTCCCCAAAGACAAGACAATGGTTTGATAGTGCAGCTGAAAATATGAACAAGATGCTCTACGTCCCAAGTATGACAGCATGATTGGAAAAAAAGGAGGTATGCAAGTTATATGAATTAATTGGTGTACATAAAACAAAGCCATTCTGCTCCTAACAGGCATGGAAACTAACGGACAACCTGGAATACAGCCTTTTAAATCAGTGACAAACTCTTCAAGAGAAATGCTATATGTTTACGAAAAACAAAGAAAACAGGAACAAAATGAGACTGTAGCATAAAATTAACATCCCAGTGAAAAGCAAAAACAAACAGCATCTGGGTAAACAGAAAAACTAACTTGCAGGAAACGGAAACCAAACTATTTAACGGCATCAGCACTAAATCAGAAATATAAATAAGATGGGGTACTGTTGGATTAGGTCTCACCACACAATAAATCCAATCAGTGACTGATTTCAGAGTAGCAGCCGTGTTAGTCTGTATCCGCAAAAAGAAGAACAGGAGGACTTCTCTAAGGTGCCACAAGTCCTCCTGTTCTTCTTTTTATCAGTGACTGAGTGTAATGTTGTATGCACCTCATTCCTAACATACATAATTATTTATGATTTATGCCATCTATTTTATTGGTGGCTTTTATTGATGACTTTTTAATCCATATTCCAAATACTTTTTTGTACAAAGAAATCCTGTCTGAAGAACTATTTGAGTGCTAGACCCTTTAATTTAAGTCCAAAATCTCAAGGATACTTTCTTTTTTAAAATAGTTTTGTCACTAATATATTTCTTTCAAGATCCAGTAAGATGCTACTTAACGAGAGAGCCCTCCTACAGCATATTCTTTCACAGCAGAGATAAGGAGTGCTGTGCATGCGTTTTAAAAATTAAGAGCAATGAAGCGAGTACAGAGGAACATGATCCTGTTATTTTTGCCTAGAAAGAGAAAGGCCTAAGAGAGGAAATTCTTAGCTATGTGCCTAACTAGCTCACACTTAACTTTGCTTGCACCTACACAGCCTTCCATTTTCTCTAAAGCATAACCACCTTGAATTACAATTACAAGCCACACACAAAAAAAATTAAAAATCAAGACTGCCCACAGTAAATATATACGTACACATGTAATATAATAATATTTAAATGCTCAAAACACACTTGGTTATGACCATCCCACTCTTCACATATTGCTATGGGCAGCTATCCCAGCATGCAAGTGACTGGAACATGCTTTTCAAATGGGGGGGGTGTGGAGTGGAGTGTGACAGGGAGTGTGTTGTGTGTATGTGGGGGGAGAGAGAATGGGTTTTTGGGGGGCTGAGAGCATGTCAGCATGCTATCTTGTAAGTTCAGACAGCAGCAGGACCCCCCGCCCCGTCTCTCTCTCTCTCACAGCATTCCACACTAATCTGTCTCGGAGCACACTTATCTGTCTCAGAGCAGATAAGCAGCCAGCTGTCAGAAACGGAGCTTTCAAACAGCATATCTGCATTCCTACAGCGAGTTCAAAACAATGAGAAGAGTGGCCACTTGACTTAAGGGGATTATGGGACATTTCCGAAGGCTGACCAGAGCGCAGTAATGCAACACCTTGTCCACACTGGCGCTCCAGCGGGGGTGCAGCAAACATTATTCCACTCGCCGAGGTGGAGTACCAACAGCGCTGTAGCCGCAGAGTCAGAGCGCTCTATGTGCCTTGCCAGTGTGGCTGGGTAGTGAGCTAGTGCGCCCAGGGCTCCTTTACTGCACTGTAACTCACAAGTGTAGCCAAGCCCATAGTGTCCACACAGGAGAGTTCCACCGCAGCACTTTAGTCCACATTGCTATTCACACCCCTATAGTCCAAACTGCAGAGCAGTGTAGACATAGCCTGAGTTTTATTTAAAAAAAATTGAAGCAGAGTTACTGGAAAACAAAATAGCAATATACTGAGAGGTAGCAATATGCGGTGACATTGCATAACAGCTGAATCCAGGGCCTGGCCTCATACAGCATAGCAATCCCCCAACTGCATCCTGAGGAATTCTAAAATGTGTTCATTACCATCCAAGCTATGTAACTGTAGAATAAGGGCAGATCAAATGCAGGTTTTTAATACTGATGAATGCAAAGAACAAACAATTTTATTAATCTAACAATGAAGATATAGTTGTATATCACCATTTTCATTGATTCTTCATTTTAAAAATTGTGTCTATGTATATAAATAGCAGTGGAGTGCTGCTGAATGCTAACTCCTGGGGCTGCCCTTGTTTCACATACATCGACCATACCACAGTTGAAACTGAGCCAGCAACAATGCTTCCAGTACCACCTAGAAGAGTACAGCAATTTTTATAACATGTTCTTAAAACTCATTTACACTGCACTTTCTGCTGAGTTTAAACTTGATTTATAGCTATGTGTTTACCATAGGAAATCAAACTTTTAGCAAGAACTATGAACTCTGTTGCATGGACAAGGCCTTAGGGCTTTTCTACACAGGAAAATTTTGCCAATGAAGCTAGGTCTACATTACAATCTTCTCCCAGCATAGCTACATCAGTCAGGGCAAGGTGTGACGAAGTGTGATTCCTGACCAACACAGATGTGCTGATAGACATTCCTACTGAAAACACAGCTATCCCAGCAATGCAACACTTTTATCAGTATTACTTACTTTACTTGTGGGGGGTGGCCTTACTATACCAGTACAAAGTGTAGACTTGCTGATTTAGCTGTGTCTACTCTAGGAGTGCTTTGCCAGTATAAGCCGGTATATACTACACACACACAATGCAGGTAAAGCACTCCTACTGTAGGCATGGCTTTATACTGATATAGTTAAACTAATATAGTTATGCCAAAATAAACCCATGTGGAAGTTATTATTCCAGTATAAGAAATGGCTTTTTGTTTGTTTAGCTTGAACCCCTTCCCAAGCAATATAAACTAAACTGGGAAAAGGCCCTCTTATGCCAGAATAAGAGCATCCACAGGGGGACTTATTATGGTATAACTATATTGGTTTAAATATAACAATATAGGTTTAAATTCACACCTTAACTTGTATCAACATAATTTTCCTGTGTAGACAAGCACTTAGTCATCAATTGTGTTTACACTCGATATTCCCCCTCACATTCCCCAGTATCCCTGCCTCTGGTGGAGCAATAGGAATGCTAACGTAGACCAGATGATGACATTTCAGCCATCTAGTCATCGAACCCAGCCCAAAGCTGGTTTACACAGCACAGTGCTTAAGAGGCAGGCAGCTGCCAGCACCTTGTCTACGCTAAAACTTGACCCCAGTTGTTACTGTTGGCAGTGGCAAGTGAAAGTCCAGCAGGGGAGTCACAGCCCAGGTATCAGGAGGTCATACCAGAGCTGCCTTCCCCGCATTTCTAGGCCGGGGAGGGGGGCCCTGCTATAGAACAGGTTGCGAATTACAGGTCTAGCATAACCAGGGTCAACGATAACATCAAAATCCCAGCCAGGGAGAGGGCGCAAGCTCATACCAGCACCCACCTTGGGCCACGTGGCCCCAAGGCGGGGCAAACACAGGGTTACTTTCACTCCCCAGGGCGCCCTTCAGCGTGACCTTTAACGTCAGCTGGCAGCACCACAGGCCAGCCTACCGGTACGTTTCCCTCCCACCACCGACCCCCGAGGCGCGCAGGGCAGGCGCGGGGCTTTCCTGGTGCCCTCAGCACAGCACAGCACACCTTAGGGCGGTGAGAGCGGAGCGGCACGGGCAGGCGGCGACGGAGGCGGGAGGAGGAGGCGGCAGCGGCAGGCGCTTGCTGCTCCTGCTCCCCGCACCGGGAGGGGGGAGGGGTACAGCCGCCCCTACCTGCTGTGCCCGGGGGAGGCTCCATGTGGGGCTTCTCACTACAGCAACCGCCGCCACAACATAACTACTCCCGAGAGCCCACGCTCTTTGCGCAGGCGCAGAAGACTACGAGAAGAAATCTGCAGGCCGCCGTGGTGGGGGGGGCAGAAGAACCCAGAAGCGGGCGCGCGCCCGTGGGCCGAGTCGGCGGGCGGAAGACAACTGGCCTCCAGCGGGGGCGCGGACAGAGCGGAGCAGCCCGCGAGAGAAAGGCCGCGGGTAGACGCACGCGCCCTGACGGGTGAAGGGAGGCGGGGAAGGGGGCGTGTGTGCCGGCACCTAGCCAGCGAGACGAGCGCAAGCGCCGGCAGGCGACCGAGGCGCAGAAGGGGGGTGCGGGGGCGCGTGCTGTGAGGAGGCGGGCGGCGCCCACAGCCTGGTGGTTGCTGTGCTCGGCTTAGGGGGACTCAGCCCCTTAGGAAGCCCGCGCTCGCCCAGTCCGAATCAGTAAAGTGCAAGGGACTTGTGGCCTCGGTGGTGTCTTGGAGCGGGGTGTCTCTGAGTAGTGCCAGGGTGTTAGGGAGCTGATCCCACAACAGCCACCAATTCACTGTCTGACCCCGGGCAAGTCACTTATCCCTTCTGTGCCTCAGTACCACATCTGTACCATGGGCATAATAACACAGCTATCGTGAGGCCGGCGATAGGGAGATGCCAACTAGAGGGAGTTACTGAAGTGTGTTTAATAATTACCACTTATGACTAGTCAGTGGTTAAGGGATACCCTCAAATGCATGCACCTGAGCACAAAGGCCTGGGAGCACCCTCCCTGTTATTATTTAGTATCTGTACTATTAGGGGCTGGGTTCCCACTGTACTAAGCACTGGTCTCAATGAAAAGAGAAAGGATCAGTGAGTTTACAGCAGCGGTCGGCAACGTTCAGCATGCGGCTCGCCAGGGTAAGCACCCTGGCGGGCCGTGCCAGTTTTATTGACCTGCTGACGCGGCAGGTTCGGACGATCGCAGCCCCCACTGATTGCGGTTCGCCATCCCAGGCCAATGGAGGCGGCGCGGGCGAGCAATGTGCTGGCCGCGGCTTCTCGCCACCCCCATTGGCCCGGGACGGCGAACTGCGGCCAGTGGGGGCTGCGATCGTCCAATCCTGCCACGTCAGCAGGTCAATAAAACTGGCCCAGCCCGCCACGGTGCTTACCCTGGTGAGCCGCGTGCCGAACGTTGCTGACCCCTGGTTTACAGTTTAAGGATACGCTGAGCTGTGGATGCACAGATGATAACAAGGAAATGGAGATGATCAAGATGTGTCTCAAGCAGTGGTCAGAACCATTTTTGTATGCATTATAGCATAGGTGAGTTTTAAGGAGAGATTTGAGGTGGACCATGTGCATATTTGAAGGGAATTCTTCCATGCATATGGGAAGGCATATAAAAATAGTACTAAAATGCTTGTTGGAAAAATTCATTATTAGCCCTTATGAGAGCTCAAAAATTAGGTTATTTAAAAAGCATAGACAGTTGTTCAAACTCTCTATGTACCTTGTGTGGGCTGAGTTTGGCCCCTTTGCCTTTTAAAAGTAATTTTGGGATAGTCCATAGTTTTTTGAGAGATGAATGATATTGACACAGTGGGTAGCAAACAAAACAAAAGTGATGCTAGTCTGTCTTCATAGAATCAGAATATTAGAATTGTAGGACTGAAAGGGACCTCACTAGTGTCAAACCTGCTCTTTCTTTAGTTACTGTAAGCATGAGTTAGGATTGCCAACTTTTAGAGAATGAAATGTGGAACAATAAGCTGTTATAAAATATAACATTTAAGGGCAAGCATGGACCCGGACCCTAGAGCGTACTGGAATAGCGAGCTATCATTTTCCCTGGTCCTGCTTGTAGGCTACTTTACCTTCTATAGAGAAGCATGTGGTCAGAGTCTCAGCAGTCTAGAAAGTGCCAGCCTAAAACAAGGTGGGGTGATCTGTGCCCCTTGGCCTTAGGGAGAAGCCTGCTTTGTGTGTCTCTGTTTTGGGTTCTTGTGTGTTATCAGTCTGAATTCTACAAAACTTATTTTGCAACCTGCCAGCAAGAGTATTTTATGTTTTTATCCAACTTCTCTATGCATGGCATGAACATAACACCCACAACATTAAGAAAAATTAGATATTAGGGATACAGGGCAAGAGTTGAAACTTCAGGAACTGTTGCAAGGTATAAAAAACAGGCCACTCTCCTTCCACCCCACATGACCACCCCTCCCCCCAATAGCAAATTGACCAATTGGCAGGAAAAGATACTATACTTGGGGAGTGCTGCAAAAGTGAATTTTCATTTAGCAACTTTTCCATTATTTTGCATGCTTATATACTGCTCCACATAGAGAGTCCAAGCTGAAGAATTATATTTCTGAAGGCTTAACATTTTCAAGCAAGCAGGAAATCTAGGAGTCTTCTCGACAAATTTTTTCCAAATAGATGCAGATGAAGGATCGTTTTTGTGACAACCTGTGTTTTTCAGGGTTTTTGTTTTGTTTTATCTTTACTGTGGAGGATCCTCTCCATCCTTGTCACAGTTGGGAGAATCCAACCATTTCTATTTCTTTAAACACCCTAATTTCTTTAAACACCTGTGTGCTTCTGGAAGGGATCTGGGAGCAGATGATTGGGGAATCATGTGGAAAAAATAGAACACAAGGTTAGGGTTATCTATTCTGAACATTCATGTTCATTAAGGAAAAAAAGATCTGAGGCTTGGAATAGCTTATTTTTTTACAGACCCACTTCATTCTCCTCTTATGAGAAATCAAGTCCTTTTATTTGGAAGTAGATTGTTTCAACTTTTGTGGCCACATTGAGGATCAAATTCCTCATGCTTATGCATTCACAGTAATTAGCAGAGCATGAGGTAGACAGAATCTTCCAGCTGATCACTCATGGTCTTGATGGCCTAGAGCATTTCTTTAAGACTATTGTGTGCCCTGACACTTCCTACATCCACAAATTTGAGCTTAGTCCTTTAAGTTGAGTAGAATGGACTTTGTTTCATCTGTCTCTGTAAAATATGAATTTCACACCAAAAATGGTACCACCACCACCTTGCACTCAGAACCCCCCTGATGAGCCCCACTCCCTCTGCACCTGGACCACCCTGATGAGCTATCGGGATCCCACCCCACTGAGCCCCAATCAGCTACACCTGAGCCACACACACTCAGATCCCCCTGCCAACCTCTATTCCCCCCCCCACCCAGACCCCACCACCATCACTGAGCCCCAACCACTTTCACCTGGACCCCCCTGCAGAGCCCCATTTTTGTTGCACCCAGAAACCCCCAACAAGCCTGTGTTTATTCAGATCCCCCCGCACCTGGATTCCCCCACTGAGCTGCCCGCACCCTGATTGCCCCACACAGAACCCTCTCAACCCATACCTGGATCCCCCCACATTAAGCCCCTCCACACCTGGATCCTGCCTTGCAGAGCCTACCTGCCCACACAGAGTGGCAGAGCCCTGGGGTGTTTCTAGGATAGGGTCCTTGCACTGTGTCACGATTGGGTGCAGCCTCACCCCTGAATCCATGTCCTGGGGGCAGTAAGGGGGAGAACTGCACAGTGATCTCCCACCTCTGCAGCTGGTGGCCTCTACTCCCCAATGTCATGCTGGAGCCTCTACATTTATTTGACAAATAAAATTTGCAGAATTTTAATTTTTGGCTCAGAATTTTAATTTTTTTGGTGCAAAATGCCCTCAGCAGTAAGCAGCTTTGCAGATATTTACCATGCGCTCATTCCATGCATAAGGGACAATATGGGAGAAAGTGTAAAAAGGTGCTCAACAGAAAATTTGACAAATGAGCAGTCAAGATTGACATCACTTGTGGAGCAGAGTCATGGGACTGACATCACAATAGTGTATATGAGACAATAGGTTGGGGATTGGCCAGAAGGGGCCTTAAAAATGAAGACAAGTAGTTTGTTTTAGCTGTAGATGGGGCAGCCAGTGGAGTGCAATGGTTGAAGCAGTAAGCCAGGAACATGGCAATTGCAGCAGCATTTTGAATGCATTATAAGGCATATAGCATTTCTCTAGGTCAGAGAGGAGGCGGTAGTTATCATTACACAAGAGGATGAGGGCCTAGGCAAGCATTTTAGCTGCCTACACAGAGAGGAAAGGCCAGTCCTTCGAGATATTTGAAGGGAGAAGCAGCAAGGTTCGGACATGGCCTGCATGCAGGGGTCTAGAGAGAGGTCTGAGTCAAAGAGTATACCCAGGTTACAGGCCCTAGTGACCCAAAGGAGGGTGATGTTGTCCATAGTGACTGAGAAAAGCAAGATGGGGCAGGCTTAGGAGGAAAAGAATAAGAGCTCTGTTTTTAAGCATAAATGAATAAACTTGATATCTTCAGGTTGGTATCAGAAAGACAGACCAAAATGTTAATTTAGATAGGAGACAGGTGAATGTCCTACAGTTCAGTGGGTGGAAAGAAAACAGCCACATTATGTATCCAGGTATGATTCAATGGTCACATCTACACTGCAAAAAGTGAGTGTGCTCAACTGGTTGCCAGAATCAACCACATGCCAGCCAGTGTCACTAGCAAGGATGAAACACTATTAGGTGCTATAATTAATTGAGTATTAACTATATTGTGTGTGGTCAAAACCCTGCTTAGGGATAATGAGATGTCACTAACAGACTATGTACTGGTTAAGTTATAGCTTAGCCAAGGCTTTAGCAACATGTCACTTACCAGTTTGGGCTCAAATAGCAATACAAAAACTGGAACATGACAGGTGTATTATCCTCTAAGCTAAGTAGGTCAAATAACGGTTGCCAACTTCTGATGAACCAGATAAAGAACATGGTAAAAAGTTTCAGCACTACCCATGTTTGATAAAATCTGACTTGCAGTGAAACCTATGTGAGCACCGATGATGATTCACGTAATCAGTATTGAGGGAAGCTTTTAATTGAATTCATTGAGACACCTCACTAAAACATGAAAGTTAACTAAACTGTGATTATTTTTTCAGCATTTACAATATTTCCTGGTAGACAAATTAATTACAAGAAATTTGCGTGATTGATTAAAACATGATTGCTTTAGTGAAGGTCTTTTTCTTTTTATCTTTTTAAGATAAGCACTGCT